CCTTGGTGTTGGCACCAATACTAGTCTTAGTTGCCGCTTAATTAAACCCGCTGGCTATCCACTATCTTGAAGTCGCTTTGTTACCTCAAGTTGTGCTGCTCTTCGGTCCACCTCCTCTGTACACAGTGCTCTTACTCTCCTAAACATCGCTGAGGCTGTGCTAGCATATACTGCTTTTTGATGTGCAGAGGAGTAGTTTAGGACCGCGCCGCTATCTGTTGATTTCCGGCATACAGTGGTTTTTAATTTCCCACCACTCCTGTCTGTCATGCAGTCAAGGGAAGCTCGTGTACCCGATGTGGACCCTAGCTCCATGCTAAACTTAATGTGAGGACCACTATTTTCAGATGTTGAAAAAATTCGTTCACCTTGTCCCGCTTCATCACAACGAACGTGTCAACTACGTAAAGCCAGAACACCCTTGGCGGACACTTGAATCCGTTTAAAGCTTTCTGTTCGAAGTCTCCCATGTACATGTTGGCCAAAATCGGGGATATTGATGATCCCATCGCTAAACCTTGTTCTTGAGAGTATATAATTGAGTCAAAAACACAAAGCCTAATGTTTAGGCATACCTTTGTGCCCCCAGCTATCTCGTCTACGGAGAGTTGCGTTTGTTCTTGCAGCGTTGTGTCTGCCAGTAAAAGTCTTCTCGCTACTTCCACAGCGTCCGCTTTAGGGACGTTGGTATACATTGAGTTGACGTCAAAGCTGAAGAGGACTTCGTCTGGCTCCATCTGAAACCTAGCTGCCTTTTGGCAGTCATGCGAATCTTGGATGTGTGTGGGTGGCTTGCCGGCAAGTGGATTTAGGATACCTGCTAGGTATCTGACCAGCTCATGTGGTGGTGAACCTATGCCATCCACTATTGGTCTTATGGGGACACCTTCCTTGTGAATTTTCGGTAACCCGTAAAATCGTGGTTGGATTGCACTTTTTGGGTACAATCGATACAACTTTCCTTGCCCCAGATGGTTTATCACAGATCTTAGATAACTCCCAACTTCAGCTTTACTCTTATTCATAATTGATGTGATCTTTCCGTTACTAGTTTGTCGGCAAGGACAATCAGCTGTGTGGTGTCTAACTCTCTGAAGATAGTCACTCTTATTCATGACGAAGCTTTTGTGTCAAAAGCGAAACGTTTCCCAGCAATAAATCCACCGACTGTTTACGAAACTTCTCTGAAACGATGACTTCACAATCGGTCCCAAACATTTTCCAATTGATTATAATCGCTGTTGTTCAAGAATTTGGGGCAAACATGCGTATGTGTAGTTTCTTGGGCATATTTGTGCTGTGAGATCGATAAGGTGTGTGCTTGTGTAGACTACCAAGTCGCCCGCTATCAGCGTTGATAACCGGGTGTATGGAGGATTATCCGGTTCTCTGTTGTCAGGACTTTGGAGGTGGCGAGCAAAAACTAAACGAGAAATCAAAAAAGTCATTCTGCTTGACACGTGACAAAATATCTGTAAACTATGGAAAATGAGGGACCCGGACAATGGATCTGATGAAACAACAGAGTTGATCTGATCCATCCGGTCAGTCTGAACTAAAACCCGAAACCACCAATGAGGCCTAGTGACCCTGGACCCATGGGCCTATGGCCAGGGTCACGTGAAGCGTAAGTGGGGATAGCAAAGTGGGGAGCTTAGCAGTGCGAGTAAATGGTAGCAAGAACATCTGAACCATGTAGACTAGAACTATAGAGACTCAGTGGGGTCACTTTCGTGGTAATGTCGGGTGTTAAAGTTCCTTGGAAGGGTGAGTTGGTAACAACACACAAGTTGGGACGTAAACCATTGACTTTGTGGGGAGCACACACACAGAAATTCCACCGAAATAGTAATATCCAAACGAAAGTTTTATCAGGGTAGAATGAACGCATCCTGCAGGCGGCTGACGCCGGGAGAAGAGTTCGTTGATATTTGCAGTTGATGGAACCAGTGGGTGGGGGTGCATTCGAGAGTAGGAGGGGGAGAAGGGCGAGTGTGCTTTCAAGCTGGGTGTTGAAGTGCCGTGCCACTACTAGCGCGACAAATAGTTTTCTGGACTGCCCCTTAACAAGTGCCACGTTTGAGATGACTGGGCTGGAAATGCAATTCTGTGAGCAGCGGAATTTTTTGATCGTCCAGGAAAACCCTTAGATGTCGAACGAGACCAGTGCATGGTCGCCGGCATTTTTCTGGTCCGGTGTGTGATCCCTGAGGATGCATATCATGGGCCAGTTAGAGTGGATATCAGCTAGGAAGAGCATCCGAATCAGGTATTGTCCAACGCTAAATCTTCGGAAGGAAATTGAATCGAACGTTGGGATGCATGTTTGTATTTTGCTCTTTTGATGTATTCCATCCTA